GGGAGCCTGGGACTGCTGCAAGCATTCAAGTCAACTGCCCACAGAGGTTATGGAGGAACATCTGTTACCCCATCTCTGTGACAAATGAAGTAGAAAGCAGTGAGGATTTTGTCACTTCCAGTTTGAGTTCTGATTGAACAGATCTGTGCTTGATTATCTGCCTTGAAGGGCAGAGGAAGGATCAGAGGTCTTATAGACCCTAATCTCCCCATAAATAGTACTTGCCACTGCCCAAAGCTATTACAAGGAGCTTGTTCACTCCTTGATATAGCAAAAATGTTAAATGGAAAAAAAAATTAAATAAATGAAAATAATAAAAACATATAAAAGCCCTCATTACCCGTGCTCACGTGCAAATGCACACGTAGGTCTGGGTCCGGTATGCATATGTAAACATTGATTGCACCACACGTGTGGGGTATCACCATGAACGTCAGATTGAGAGCAATCATTCTAGCACCAGTGCTCACGTTTGTCTCTACACTGGTAACCTTTAAAGGCTTTTAAAATGTTCCCTATAGACAATTGTAGGTATTGTAGCTTGATGCCATGTCACAGGCATGTGCAATTTTATATCCAAACATGTTTGGTATCTACTGAGCGCAACATCACCTTTATATTTTACCAAATAAAAAAATAGGTATTATATTGTGTTTGTGTGCACTGAAATTCATGTAAGTGCATTTTTTTCTTGAAGACTTGCATTTGAGAAAAGGCTGCACAAATAATACGAGCCATTAAAAAATTGCAATAACGACCATTTTATTCTCCAGGGTCTCTGTTTTTAGAATAGGAGTGTCCAACCTGTGGCCCACAGATCACAGGTGGCCCAAAATGGCTATGAATGTGGCCCAACACATAATCGTAAACTTATTTAAAAATTTAGGTTTTTGTTTTGGGGGGGTGGGGGGTGGGGGGTGGGCTTTGAGTGTCTCTTTTCTTGACTTATGTAACTTTTTTTCTTCCCAAAGAAAAATCTCCCACTCTTCACATTTACGCCTTAATCATGTCATCAGTTTTCAACCTATATTTGTGAGCATCTATTTTCCAGGATGAAGCACATGAAGGGAAAAATTAGAACCAAAATATCTGATGAGCACCTTAAGAACTCATTCAGAATTGCTACTCTATCCATGGAACGAGATATTGATTGTTTACCAAAAACAGTGTCAAATATCCCACTAGTTTTATGTTGCCCTCTATTACTTTTATAATAAAAAATCTTACAAAAAAAAGTTTTATTACTCAGGTACATTATTTATATCAGTGATTGTTAACTTGTGATCTGCCTGACTTTTTTCTGCTCATAAGCTGTCCTTATTGTTAGTGTATTTCATGTGTGGCCCAAGACAATTCATTTTCTTCCAATGTGACCCAGGAAAATCAAAAGGTTGGACACCCGTTTTAGAAACTATATATAATGTTTGGGGTTTTCTAAGTAATTTTCTAGCACAAAAATGCTGTGCATCAGACAATGTGAATTCCTTACTTCCCCTTGATGAAGTCACATGGTCTGTGACAAAACACATTGGCGGAGAGCTTGTGACATTATTGCTCAAACCTGGAAATGGATGGATGGAGCTTTTCTACTGAGATGATGCCAATGCCTATGCTGTATGTTTTAAAGTGAACACACCATCGTGCACTATTTTTATGTGCACTATTCTTATGAGTGTTTTTTTTCTTAACTGATTGCCAACCACGCACTGTAGTTTTACTGCTACAGTATGGGCCGGCTGCACAGAATCACATATACATGTGATTGTTTATTTCCAGGTAGGGAGTTGCACTCTCATTGGATCCCTTAGATGCCGATCAATGGGTCCTGGCCTATGATTAATGGTCGGGACCCACTGATCGGTGGAGTGGATGACAGGAGCGAGATCTGTGTTCGTAAACCACACTGATCTCTCTACTGAGGGCAGGGATGTGCCAGCTTTTGTCTCCCTGTAAAGCAGAGAATAAAAACTATCACATCCCCTAGTAAAAACAGCACATAGTTAACACAGTAACACTTCCTACGCACATAGTTAACCCTTTGTTTGCCCAAGATGTTAATCCTGTCCTACCCAGTGTAATTAGTACAGTGACAGTGCATTTTACTAGCACTGATCACTGTATTAGTGTCACTGGTGATATCAGTGTCAGTTCCCACTCAGTCTCAGTTAGTGTCAGATTGCCCGCTGCACTACTACAGTCCTACTATAAGTTGCTAATTGCCACCATTACTAGTACAAAAAAAAAAATAACACAGAGAGATTAGTGGATGTCACCAGGGCTTTTTTTCTCAGAAAATAGGTGCAAAAACTCCCCCTTCTGAGTCACTCTTTGTCTCCGCCCCCTACTCACCTCTGAGCACCGATTCTTGGTTCCACCACTACCCACCTCTAAGCCCCATCCCTTGGTTCCACCCTCTACCCACCTCTGAGCACTGTTCCTTGGTTCCACACCCTACCCATCTCTGAGCACCGTCCCTTGGCTCCACCCCGCTAACCACCTCTGAGCACTGTTCCTTGGTTCCACACCCTACCTATCTCTGAGCACCGTCCCTTGGCTCCACCCCATACCCACCTCTGAGCACCATCCTGTGGTTCCACCCTATACCCACCTTTGAGCACCGTCTCTAGGTTCCACCCCCCACTCATCTCAAAGCACTGTTCTTTGGTTCCTCCCTCTACCCACCTCTGAGCACTGTTCATAGGTTCCACCCCCTACCCACCTCTGAGCACTGTTCCTAGGTTCCACCCATTATCCACCTCTGACCACTGTTCCTTGGTTCCACCCCCCCACTCACCTCAGAGCACCGTTCTTTGGTTCCACCCCCTACCCACCTCTGAGCACTGTTCCTAGGTTCCACCCCCTACCCACCTCTGAGCACCGTTCCTAGGTTACACCCACTATCCACCTCTGACCACTGTTCCTTGGTTCCACCCCCCACTCACCTCAGAGCACCGTTCTTTGGTTCCACCCCCTACCCACCTCCGAGCACTGTTCCTAGGTTCCACCCGCTACCCACCTCTGAGCACCGTTCCTAGGTTCCACCCACTATCCACCTCTGACCACTGTTCCTTGGTTCCCCCCTCCACCCACCTCTGAGCACTGTCCCTTGGTTCCACCCCCTACCCACCTCTGAGCAACCGACCCTTGGTTCTACCCGCTACCCACCTCCCAGTACCTCCCCTTTTAGACAATACAGAATGAAGTATCAGAACCAAGTGCTACTAAGTCATTTGTATGAAATTTGTTAATGATAACAAGAAAGACAGTAAAACAGATCCCCTGCCATTAGCAACAATAGACCCCAGCAACAGTAGACTCCCCAACCAACAATGGATCCCCCTATACACAATAGACTCCCCCAGCAACAAAATACCACCCCAATAACAACAGATCTCCCAGCAGCCAGCAACAATAGACCTCTCCCTCAACAGTAGATCCCACCCAGCAAACAAATGACCCCCCCAGCAACAATAGAGCTACCCAGCAACAATAGAAACCCATGCAAATATAGATCCCCACCAACGACAATACATTCCCTAGCAGCCAGCATCGATAGACCCTCTAGCACATCCCAGCACCCCTTGCCATTACATACATTCAGTGCTGGAGGTGTTCCTGCTGAAAACAATCCCTGGATGTCACTAATAATACTAGAGTATATGAAGCAATACACTATATAGATGTATATTTATGTAATTGCTGTCTCTGCCCCCGTTAGTGAGATTCACCCCTTTATCACTGCAAATGAAAGTAAAAGAAAATCCACAATTTTGGGTTTACACCAAAACAGTGATAGAAGGGAAATCTTCCAGTGGAGACACTAGTTCTGGTGACAACCAGGGATTCACTCGCTTTTAAGAGATTTCCTCTCACTTCCTGTTTTGGCTCTGGGACAGGAAGTGAAGGGTGGGATGCAGAGGGACAAAAAACTGTCAGGGTTTACCTTCGGTTCTAATTATCTTTAAAATTGGCTAATAATTTGTATGTTGTTTTCTGTCTTTCACTCCATCCAAAATGGGAAAAAAATACTACTTTAAAGTAAAACTATAGGCAAAACATTTTTTTTATTTTGGATAGAGTAAGGGAGGGTTATAACCCGTCAGAATTGTTTTTTTTGCCGTCTATGTCCCATTGGGGATATTTCCCTTCACTTCCTGTCCCATAGCCAAACAGGAAGTTAGGGGAAATTCCTGAAAATTAAGGGAATTCCTTGGGGACCCCCCTCCAGGTTCCCAGAACTAGTGTCCCCATTGGAAGTTTTCTATGACTTTTCTGGGGAAAACACAAAATTTGGGGTTTTCTTTTACTTTTGATGACAATGGTAAACAAGGACCAATATAGAGGGTGAATCTGCCTAACGGGGACACAGCTGGGGTGGACTGACAACTCATGGGGCCCCCGGGCAATAAGGGTTCATGGGGCTCCTGTGTCCTTGCCCACACTCAAACCACACCCAAAAAAAACTATGAAAGGTACCAGGGGCATCTCATGGGGCCCCCTACTGACCCTGGGCCCACGGGCAGTGCCCGAGTGCCTGACTGGTCAGTCCGCCCCGGGACACAGACAGCAATAAAAACTGACAGGGGTTCTAATCCCTCTCCACTCTATTCAAAATTAAGAAACGTTTTGCCTTTAGTTATACTATAAGATTTCATAAAAGACAATCCTTTCTTTTATTCTTTTTTTTAAATTGTTATATGTTCGTATAATATTATCCCAAGGCCCGGAGTTTTTCTGGGAGGCTGGCGCGCTTGCGCGGACCGGATCGGCTCTGTGTCTTTCGCGTCACTTGTTGCTATGCAGTGCTGAGCACAGAGAAGACCAATTCGGCTTCCTCCGGGCAGAGGGCAGTACATAGGCCGGGCACCGAGCCGTCCCGTCCCCGGTCACTGAGAGCAACAGGAAGTGAGAGCATCGGAAAGCTGCTGCTGTTTGTGTCGGGAGTTTTCTCAGAGGCTTCATGAAACCCCGACCCGTCTGTGACCACTGACAGCTGAACAATGGGTCCGACCGGCCTGCTGGGCCTCCTCCTCCTGCTGCACTGGCCTCAGGTAATGTCCCAGCAACAGGTAGAAGAACTGAGGAGGGGGAGTGAGGGAGGGGGAACGAGGGAGGGGGCACCCACCGGGGGCAGGGAGGGGGGCATTGTTTACTTTGTTATTATGAGGTGTAATGGTATGTGACAGCTGTGTGATGGCATCTGATATACTGACAGCCATACTGACTGCTCTGAGGACATGGAGCGCACCTGACACAGGGGGCTGTGAGTACAATACCAGTATCCCCAGTACATACAGACCAGTGTACAATGGTGGCTGTGAATGCAATACCAGTACCCCCAGTGTTCCCAGTACTCTCAGACCAGTGTAAGATGACGGCTGTGAATGCAATACCAGTATCCCCAGTGTTCCCAGTACACTCAGACCAGTGTACAATGATGGCTGTGAATAGAATGCCAGTATCCCCAGTGTTCCCAGTACACGCAGACCAGTGTACAATGATGACTGTGAATACAATACCAGTATCCCCAGTGTTCCCAGTACACGCAGACCAGTGTACAATGACGGCTGTGAATACAATACCAGTATCCCCAGTGTTCCCAGTACACGCAGACCAGTGTACAATGATGACTGTGAATACAATACCAGTATCCCCAGTGTTCCCAGTACACGCAGACCAGTGTACAATGATGACTGTGAATACAATACCAGTATCCCCAGTGTTCCCAGTACACGCAGACCAGTGTACAATGACGGCTGTGAATACAATACCAGTATCCCCAGTGTTCCCAGTACACGCAGACCAGTGTACAATGATGACTGTGAATACAATACCAGTATCCCCAGTGTTCCCAGTACACGCAGACCAGTGTACAATGATGGCTGTGAATACAATACCAGTATCCCCAGTGTTCCCAGTACACGCAGACCAGTGTACAATGACGGCTGTGAATACAATACCAGTATCCCCAGTGTTCCCAGTACACGCAGACCAGTGTACAATGATGACTGTGAATACAATACCAGTATCCCCAGTGTTCCCAGTACACTCAGACCAGTGTAAAATGATGGCTGTGAATAGAATACCAGTATCCCCAGTGCTCCCAGTATACATAGACCAGTGTACAATGATGGCTGTGAATAGAATACCAGTATCCCCCATTGTATACTGGTCTGCATTTACTGGGAACACTGGGGTTACTGGTATTCTATTCACAGCCATCATTGTACACTGGTCTGTGTATACTGGGAACACTGGGGGATACTGGTATTCTATTCACAGCAATTGCCAGCGTTAATAAGGAACTTCACACTCCCCACCCTGGAGTTCGTTTTCCTTTTTAAAGGTGAAGTTTAGTTTTTCATTTTATTATATGGTTTCATTGGTCCAGCTTGGCACAAAATAAGCCTAGGTTCACATATGTGTGGGTGAACGTCATCAGTACAGCAGCCCATTCATTGGATTCAAACATGGAGAAAGATGTCCTCAACTCTATTTTTAAAAACTCACTGGAGGGAACTGCATGGTTCTGCAGCACCATGCGGTTTTCCTCAGAGTGAATTTAAGGTGCTATCAAAGGAGAAGTATGGGAATCCAAAAAAATAAACATAGCTACGCAGCTCTGTGCTGTGGCATTGGTCCCGCATTGGCTCTAAGTCCAAGAACAGAGTGATCACATGACCACTCAGCTCTCAGTCTGCTCAGAGCAGTGAATGTCAGTCACCAATCTCCACTTTGCCCCCCCCCCACACTCACTGCCAGGCTGGAGAGGAGGTGGGTGCAGCTGGCTTCAGCTATTAGCTGCGCTTTGAGAGCCAGACCTAGCTGTCTTGGGCATCTTGCTGGCTCCCAACAATATGGTCCGGATCCTTCCAGAGCATGGGGCAACTCTGTGACATCTGCTGATGGCAAGTTTTTACTCCTGCCAAGGGATGCGTCAGCTGATTGTGGGTCACAGGAGTGCAAAAGTAAGTGCATGCCTGTGACCCACAAGAGAAGTATGGCCAAAAGTGCTTTGGCCATACTTCTGTTTTAGGAATCAATGGCACCCCCCCCCCCCCCACGTCAAGGAGTAGTACACTTCTGTGTGGGCTGGGAATGCACCCAATTATGCATGCGTTCCCGACCTGAAATATGTGAACTTAGCCTTAGTAGTTTTATTGCATACCTGAACAACTGCGGGGCCACAGTCACTGTAGTAGTCATTAGTGCTCTTACACTGATTGCTTTCTGCACAGTAACCACAGAAGGGAATCCTTGTGAACGAAGTAAACTAACACTGTACACCCCCCCACACCCCACCCAGTCCTTGCTGTACTTACCTCTGTGGGTGATGATCTGTCAGTGAACCCACAGCTGGTGCAGTGGTTCGGGGATTTGAAATCCCTGCTCTTCCCTCTCTTCTTACTGCAGGGCTTCTGGGATGGAGCAAAACAATTCTGATCGGTCAGCACTGGCACAGTGTATCAATCCATCCCAGAAGCCCTGTAGAAAGACAAAAGGAGAAGAACTGGGATTTCATATCAACAGACCTATGGAGGTAAGTACAGTGTTCGCTTGTTCATTTTTCTTGAAAAAGGTGAACCAACCCTTTTTTAACCGCTGCATGCGCGCCCTCCCTCCACTCCTCCTCTGCACCGCTATTTTACTAAATATGGCATGCGTGCAGATGTGCTTCCAGGTAGTTAGGGCATGTGTGCACACATGATGAATGTCTACACGTGCACAAATGCTGGCATCCTCTGGCCGATGGACACTGGGAGTATTTCCACATGCGCAAAATCTACTATGTGTACGCAGATGTGCCATAATCTTGTGACTTGGTAACAGAAGGCCTCTTGGGATAGCTATGATATAGCAATCACAGGAGGTAGCGGGGCCCGGCTTAGGCAAGAAACCAGGAAGTATTGTCTTGCAGCACAAAAGGTAAACCTTGTAACTGGGCAGCACAGTGGCTAAATGGTTAGCACTTCTGTCTGGCAGTACAAGGGTCGTTGGTTCGAATCCCAACCACGGCACCACCTGCCTGGAGTTTGCATCTTCTCCCTGTGCCTGCGTGCGTTTCCTCCGGGTACTCCGGTTTCCTCCCACACTCCAAAGACATGCTGGTAGGTGAATTGGCTCCTGTCTAAATTGTCCCTAGTATGTGTATGTATGAATGTGAGTTAGGGAGCTTAGATTGTACACCCCTTGAGGATTAGGGACTGGTGTAAATGTACAATATATATGTAAAGCACTGTGTAAATTGACAGCACTATATAAGTACCTGAAATAAATAAATAATACATGTTTTTTTTACCATTTGGGTAAGTGAATGCCCTTTGTGATTACTATGCAGAGGGGAAGCTATGATTTACAGGGTGAGAGGGGGCTGTGCTAGAGGATCAACTCTTCTGGAATTGTCAGATTTTCTAGCATGTTCAAAGGCACCATTCAAGTGAATAAAAAATATTTATTGAAAGTTAAAACACCACGCATTTAAAATATTTCTCTGCTTTGTACCTGCATTATTTATGTTGGCGACAGGGTCTCTTTTTAAGTCTTTCCAGTCTGGTGTTAGGGTGACATTCACAGCAAAGTGAGCAGTGGATACCTTTTTTATTGCTGTTTTATATAGGCAGTACCTGATTTTGGTACATTTAATAGTAATAGGAGCCACATTGATTTCTGTAACAACATTTGCTGGATTCCTACCTGAATACCTAAGTCATCTGTCCTTTTTGTTGGAGCTTTTCTTTTTATACATGTAATTTAAGTACAGTGTTTTTGTTTTTTATTTTAAGTAAGGAAGTATGTCTGTCTTTTTTTTTAAAGTGACTGCTTGGTTTGCTTAATCTTAAAGCGAACTGATATCCTGTCCATCCTGTCCATCTTGTCTTTCATGCTTTATTGACATAATTACTCATAAATATGGAACAGCGCTACCTGCATTAAAGTCACAATATATATCACTCATATAAAAGTGCGATAACACAACCTCTATTCTACATACAATACTCTCCATAAATATCCTTAAAGTGTACATAAAATTGATATGCAAATGATATAGAACACCCCAAATACTGATGAAAGTGCAATATGCCCAAAAATCGCTAGTATTCATCTAAAGTGCAGGGGATCGTCAAATATCCTCACTTGTATCCTTAAAGTGCATAAAACCATGTGCAAAATATATGTAACATCCACATATGAAAATAAATGTGCAATATGCTGGAAGAGAGCAATAAGTTTACAATAATTCTCAGATAAAGTGCAAAGAAATCACTGCAAATAACCATATACAAACTTATTTGAATGAAAATATCCTATAACTCCTTTTTATTGATTATAGTGTCCATAAAATATATGAAACTGCAGTGCAAAGTAAACTTCTGGATCTTCTCGTAACACCCCCACACCAGTGCTCTTCCACCACCAAATGAATTGAATAAACTCACTAGAGCGATATGTTGGTCAAATCATAAACCAGCAAAAACGCATGCTGCTCTGGGAGTAACGTTCTGCAGAGGACATCAAGTGATGAAATGCGTAGGGTGGGGCTTTGGAGATGACGCCACCACATAGGGCAGTTAGTTATAGCGGCTGGAGACAACCTATTACATGCTTATGCCTTCACACTTGTGTCAGTGGTGACACTTTATTGTATAAAACCTCATAAAACACTAACATTATAAAGTAGCCTGATGGGTTTTATGGTATGGAAGCTCCCCTCTTCTTTCCCTTTTGAGCGAATGAGAGAAATGAGTGTGCTTCTCTAAGAAGCCTGAGGCAATAAAACCGCGAGACTGTAGAGCGTTACTCCCAGAGCAACATTCGTTTTTGCTGGTTTATGATTTGACCAGCATATCGCTCTGGTGAGTTTATTCAGTTTATTTGGTGGTGGAAGAGCACTGGTGTGGGGTGTTACAAAAAAGGTTCAGAAGTTTTACTTTGCACTGATGGACTGTTTTTTATATAATTTATGGACACTATAATCAATAAGGAGTTATATATTTTTATGATATTTTAATTCAAATAAGTTTACATATGCTTATTTGCACAGTGATTGGTT